AGAGGTTAAACATATGCCACACAATGGATCGTATATTATTGAAAGTTATTTATATTATAAAGTACAATTATATACATAATTACAGTAGACGTTTCGACCCTAAATGTCATCTTCAGTATATAATAAAATTAAAACAATGTGAAACGGAATAATACAAAGATAAAATAAAATTGTGTGTTAAGTATTAGTCCTTATAAGTATTTAAAATGTAATAATTTTATAAAGTTATTACGCATGTCAATGTTTAATTGTTTAACGTGTAAATTCTATGAATTTAAATGATTGGAAAATCGTGATATTTTTCGTGATACATATATATCACGGAAAATATCACAATTTACCATTCGTTTAATTTCATAGAATTTACACGTTAAACAATTAAACATTGACATACGTAATAACTGTATAAAATTATTACATTTTAAATAATTATAAGAATTATAATACTTAACACACACATATATATGTATTACGGAAAATATCACGATTTATAAATCATTTAAATTCATAGAATTTACACGTCGAACAATTATAACATTGACATGCGTAATGACTTTATAAAATTATTACATTTTAAATAATTATAAGGACTAATACTTAACACACAATATTTCATTTTATCTTTGTATTATTCCGTTTCACATTGTTTTAATTTTATCGTATACTGAAGATGATATTTAGGGTCGAAACGTCTATTGTAACTATGTATATAATTGTACTTTATAAACAAATACAAGTTAATACGTGGTTTCAAAATAAATGAAAAACAAAGGTAGAGCATTCAATCACACGCAATATAGGTAATGATAGCGAATATGTCATATACTTTAATCAAATCATTCGTTACATGATACACCAAAGATATTTAATTTATTTATAGCACAAATAAATTAAATATCTTTGAAGTATTATTACAAGTGGATTGTATTTGTAAACGAGCGATACATAATCATCATGGTATAATAAAGAGATATGGTTTGGAAATTATATCTCGTTCATCCATGAAGAACATAGAAAAGGAAATCGAATTAATTTGCTTCAATATTCACATAATTATTAGTTACAACACAACAAGATTAACACTTTTGCTAATTTAAAATATTGTAATTATAATGTAATTATAATTAACAAGAATGAATCTTTATTTTATAATTCGGATTGTATGTAAGAATGTAATCGACAAATAACAACTCGAAGAATTGTTTTAATTTTTGACAACCACAAATGTACTAAATAGTTTTAGATTTATATTTGTATCATGGTTGAACTGTACACAGCCACTGATGATGGTCATATTGAAGATCGAAACGTTTGGTATATCATGTAACGAATGATTTCATTAAGTTATATGACATATTCGCTATCATTATCTTGCGTATGGTTGAATGCTCTACCTTTTTTTTTCGTGTACTTTATAATATAAATAACTTTCACTAATATATACGATCCAGTGTGTGGCATACTCGCTTGACCTTTTATTTTGTTTATCTGTAAAAATGCTATATAAACTAATTGTTTTTCTTATATTCATTACTAATACACATACATCACATACATAGTTATTTTATTATATATATGTATATCCGACTTTATATAAAAATAAAGACCAAAGAATTATAATGATAGGAAGCAATCGTAACATCATTTGTCACTTATAAGTGAACTTATAACTTTTGAGTGACAAATAATGTCACGCTGACGTGTTCTTATGATATTATAATGACTTCTGTTATGAATATTATCATAGAATTATCCAAATATTTGTAACACATCTATAGAAAACTCTATACAATATGCAACATTTTTCTTCGAACTGTGGATGGTATTCTATTTGTGTATTCGTGTTATTGAAAAATTGATAATTTTAAGTGCAGGTCACTAATAAAGTGCAGTAATTATTAACATTGCATCTATTCTTTGCACTGAAGAAATACAGCTGTATAAGGGAAATAAGAAGGATTATTCTACAGCTGTATTTATAATCTATTAAATATAATATATGAGATTCATAAATATATTATAATTAAACTCGTTATGTTTAAATATTAGAATTAAACGTTATGTTTGGCATAACGTATGATAAGTATGATTTAATCTCATTAATAGTGCGAAAAAAGTGACTTTTTATTCGAGATTGCTCGTATAATATGCGATTATACGCGTACGACATAATGCACGTCCGGACATTTAATCCGCGTAAATGTGAAGTCACAGATAAAAATTCGCATCAATGTGTACCTCACGTGCGGAGTTGCAAAACAAAGGAACATTCCATTGTAACATCTGTCGTTACGACAATTCAATGTTTTTCGCGTGTGACGTCCGCTGTTACGCGCGATCAGTTGATTTATCACGAAAGATATTACAAAATATACATCCGAACGCGTTTTCATATATTGAGTACGATAGACGCTTTCGTCTCATCCATATGCCGCGTGCGTGTTGCAGTAAAAAATTACTAAAAATAAAGCATAATTGAGCATATATAGCTATTACGTACGCGCGAGATTACTATAGACTTTTATTAATATAAAACGAATTTTTGACGAGAGACGGGAAGTTTTTTTTTTATTTTTAAATAAAACAGTATTATTCATTGGAATCTAACCGATTTAATATTTGATATTGTTCTATCACTGGACACTATATTATTTTATTTTGCAGTCTATCACGTAGAAATTTTATATAGCTTCAATAGAGTATTGTAACATTGATCTCACAGAGATATATTTCATCGAAATATAATTGTATGAATTGTGTCAGTTGAATGCCCACGTAGCACACCAGTGCGTGTAAAGCGCTTTCGAAGCGCTATTCAGATTGCACCTCTAATTACGCACTTTTATTGCATGCGGATAACTCGGCTAATTTCAAGCCATATTGCATGTCTGCAATATGACTGTTATACGACATGAAAAGTGCAGTAAATGTGTTATAAAATGTGTTATAAGATGTGTATGATATTTATTCTGCGCTGATTATATGCGCTTATAATACGCTTTTCATAGTGGATTTTGAACGCACTTTCAAAGCGTTAAAAAGCTCCTGAAGTAATGCATCTGCATACGCGTTTTTTTTTAGCGCTGTTTAAGCGCTACTGTGCTAGTAGGGGAGGCCAAGCGGGGATTTGGGAATTTACTCGAGCGCGTCAGAATAACATAAAGGGGGAAAGCTTACAACCTAATAAGTACCCCCACCAAATATTAAACCTCTATATAGAGGCGGGTGTCCAGGGGATTAGTAAATAAAAAAAATCGATCGTTCGAAAGTGTAAGCGACCCATGTGTTTCTGATAACGGATAAATATTAATCTGACGGTTTGCGTGGTGGGGTTAGCTGTAGGAAGGGGTCAAAAAAAGGGGGAAAAAAAAAAAATTTTAAATACTCGAGCGCGTCAGATTTTTGAAATGTACACTTTTCTACATGTAATTAACACACCATACCTTAATCTGACACGCTCGAGTATTTCATTGGCACTGTTTTTTTTTGAAAGCCTATACACGCTCCCCCCACCACTGAAACGGCATACATCATATAACCTTTTTTTCTTTTTAGCATCTAATCTTCACAATCCAATAGGTCCCCACGACGCTGGAGTAAATCCACATTTAGCCTCTCGGCCTCCCCTACTACTACGTGGGTGGGGTAAGAGTGAAGGCCAAATACCGAGATATATAAGAATATAATTGTAGAGGGGTACCGAAGGACTATCCACTCATTTGCAATGTGTCACGTCGCACTCTGGCAGTCCAGGGGAATGATAGATGAGCACCAACTATGTCGTGCAAAGCGAGCTTTACCTTTTTGCTGAAATAATCTCAGACAAGGATTTTCGACATGATGCCGTGGTCGTAGAGTACGCGATAATAGCCCGACATGCGCGCGCGATTAATGCATTATTACGCGCTCCACCAACACCGCTTTATCCTTATCGCCGTCACGCCGTTGTTGTCATTGTCCTGTTTGGCTTTAACTACTCGTTGCTCTAAAAGCTGAAGATGAAGTAGCAGCATGCTTTCAAGAGGTTTTGTCAGTTGCTCTTAAAACGATTCCTTGGTCCTCGCTGAGAGAACACGAGTTACCTTCATAAATTTTATAGAAGAAACTGCCGGTTACGTGAAATCTTTTTGACAAAAAAAAAAAACTTAATGATGTATAAAATCTATTGAAAGTACAATGAATTTACAAGGTAATATAGTTATATTTATCTTTCGAACTTATAATGTATTTTTGCACGTACTTTAAAGATATACCATAAGTATAAGATGTACAAGTCTTCCTGCAAAAATTTTCCTGTATATACCTTCCGGTATTGATTTTTAAGAAATCATTTATGCCCGTTTCCATCAATGTAAATTAACTTTAATCTCGGGGTTAAACTTACTGTTTATCTTTTTTTTAATTTTTAGAATTAGAAAAAGATGAAGAGCAAATTGAACTGAGATTAAAGTTAATCTATATTGGTGGAAATGGGCATTAGCAAAGTAAGTAGTTCGGCTATTTTTTCGACCGGCGGCAGTAGCGAAGGCGAGAGATATTGACGACTTGGTCGCGTCGTATACGCTCAATGTACGGCGCGCGACAGCAGAAAGCTTGTACTTTCTCAGGGCAGCGATCACGTAATTTCGAGCGAATTTTTTCATCTTTCACTTTTCGCGCGTTCTGATTCCGCGTAAGCGAAAAAGCAGCGTTGCCGCATCGCACGGAGTAACGCAGTGGGATGATTTTTACACTTCTGTAAAAATATTAGTTGAGTACACAACTAATGTGTACTCAACTAATATTTTCTGTGTGTAGGAGCGACTGCGTGGACGCGAGTAAACTTTAGGTTGAGCACAACTGCAATCGGAGAACGTCTTTAAACGAAAATAAAGATAATTTCATAATGTAAATCAACTGTATATAATAAAGCATAATACAGTATAAATTACAATAAAGCGAATAAAAACAATAAGATTCAATGAATTATAATACACATACAGAATTTAGTATGTATAGTTTCAGGACTTTTGCCCCTCTATATGATGTAGATTTTCTTCGACGGATTGTAGTCCAGGATTCTTGGGAGAGACGCGATCGAATCGATTCCGCCTGTTAGTTATCCGCAAATTTCGTTCCGTGAAAATATACTCTTTTAAGTAATCACTTAATGCATTCTCAAAATTCTTGTTTGACTTTTTATCCGACACTTCCGATATTTTGGTACACTTATTCATTCCTTTCGCATCCTGCAGACGACTCTCTAATCCCACATTTATCTCTTTCAATTTTTCGTTAGCGCCTCGTAAGTCGTTCACTTTAAGCCTAAAATCGAAATTCGACTTCCTCGAAGCGGCGAGTTCATCTTTTAAAGCCACCCTCTCTGATTTCAATGCGTTTAATTCTTCCTTAAATATCTCGAGGTGCGACTTCAACGTCACTTTCTCATTCCGTAGATACATCAGTTCGAGTTTCAAAGCTTGAATCTCGTCCGTCGCTTTACCGAACTCGCCGTCCATTAGGCAGGAGTTACGACTACTACACGAAATATCTGCTTTCATCTTCAGCGCTCTGTTCTCGATTTTGAGCTGATTGATATCGAATGCCGCGGTTCTGCCGCTTCCCTTGGTCATATCCGGATGATTGGAATAATTAGAATAATTGCTTATTCCTTTCTCGTGCCAGATATTCGCGATCTCAAATTTCTTCAACATAGAAACGACAATTTCTTCGTCGTTCGATACTTTTGTCCATGCTACTGAATTTTCCGATCCATCTTCCGTCAGTTTCATCGTAATCTTGGAAATTTTGGATCTCAAATTCGCCTGCTCTAATTTCAAAGAATTATTTTCACTTTTCGGTCTCTCTACCTCGCTCTTTGGCTCGTCTTTGATCACTGCTTTGTTATCGCGACCGACGTGTGTATCAGATTCGCCAATTTCGATCTTTATACTCGTACACGCGGCATCCGAGCTATTTTGCTCCTGTTTAATCTTGTTATGAGTATCGGTGAATTTCCGCTCGCAATCTATCACGAGGGGATGCTGCGTATCGGTTTTTTTAAAATAATTTTTACGATTATTATTTTCGTTGTGCAACTTGGCCGCAATTAGTCGCAACGCCTCATACTTCATTTGTTGGCTCTTCAGTTGGTTATCGAGTACTCTGCACTCGTTAGCGATTTCATTTATTCTTCCATTCGCGCCGTCTCTCTCCCTCCTCAGCTCGGCGCTATCTTTTTCTCTCGTGTCGCAGGTAGCCTGCAGAAGAGCATTTTCCGCTTTCGCTTTATCATTTTCGACCCTCGATTTATTCAATTCCATGGAAAAATATGCATTCTCCTCTCTCGCTTTATTCAGCTGTTCTCGCAGAACGACGTTCTCATCATTGAGCTCGTTAATACGCGTCGCAAAATCGTTCTTTTCTGTCAACAGCACTCGTACACGATCCTCGGTCTCGGTATTCCGTAGAAACAGCATATCCAAATCGCCGATGGCCTTCGAGTTCTCCGATTGCAGGCGCGCTGTATTAACAACCGCGTCTTCGAGTTCCGCCCGCGCTCTCTGCAGCTCGAACTTTAAATTCTCCGTAGTAGCTTCGTGCTCGCTTATCTTCTCCTGAAGGCCGTTGCGCTCCGACTTAAATTTGTTAACTTGATCCTGCAGCACGGCGCACTTGTTATTGACATCGGACATCGATCTATCTAACAATTCTTTCTCAGACCTCAACTTCAACAACTCCTCTTCGAGTTGTTCTTTCTCGTTCTGGATTTGTTTGACTTTATTCTTCGACGCTTTGTACTTCGCTATCACTCTGTCGAATTCTCCCGATGTTTCCTCGCCAGCATTCGTCGGGACGTTCAATTGATACATCAACGACTGTTCATTAGGTATCAAATAAGAAATTTTATCCTCCGGCCCGGTCTTGTCATTGATATCTTCATTTGACGCGCATTTCAAATAATCGATTTGCTTGTCCACCTTACTCAGACTTATTTTAGGCTTATCTGACTCAGCTCTCAAGTACTCTGATTCATCCTTGAGGTTTTGTGTACGGTGTTCATCATTGTTTCGTTCCTCCCCACCACTTTCTTTCTCCGAACTTTTCAATTTGCCCAGTCGCTCGCGTTCCTTCTGTTTCCCAAGTCCCTCAATTATACTTCTCAGTTTTACATTTTCATCGGAAGCGATCCCAAGTTTCGTCTTCAGGTCCTCTGTTTCCATTCTAAGAACCGCTTTCAGCGCGTTCTGCTGGGTAATAATATTCTTAATTTCCTTGTCTTTCTCCCCGAGAACGTTACGCAACCTTTCCGTTTCCCCTAATAATGTCTCTTTATCATCATGAAGGTCCTGCAATTCTTTCCTCGCTGCATCAATTTCAACCTTCATCAGTTGCATTTCCGCGACACGTCGCTCGGAATGATCGTATTTAAGCGACAACTCCAATATTTCTTGTTTCCCGCTTTCTATATCTCCTCGGAGAGTGTCGTTTACCTCGCGTATGTCAGTGATAATTTTCTCATACTTCTCACGATCTTTTTCTAACGTTAATCCGATGTTTGCACGTTCGTCGTTTAGCGCATTTATACGTTCGTTCTTTTTTAATAATTCCGATTTTAAATTCATGATTATAGTTTCAAGCTGTTCGATTCTTTCACGTAAATTCGCGCGGTTATCGACAAATTCGAGTTCCTTTATTTTACTGCACAATTGCTCGATCAAGGTTTCCAATACCTCTGTTATTTCCTCGTTGGTATTTATAACTTCCGGTGGAGCTTGTTTTAAAATAGCGATTACTGCAATTGATTTTCTAACGATATCTTCGAGTTCCGTAACTTTGGTCATGTATCGCGAGCTGCTGATGCCACCGATTTTGCAATATTTGTCCATCGGTTTTATTTTCAATTTTTCAATCTCACTGTCGATTTCTTGTAGAAAATCATTCAACGACGAAGCTGTTTTCAAGCATTTCTCGTATTGGAGGTTCTCGCATAACCGTTTATCTATCGGCACGTTTGATCGTCTAAGCTCCACAGACAGCACTTTTAAGTTTACTTTTAGATTAACTACTTTCTTCATGTATTTCAAACAGTCGGGATCGCCGGCGGCGATCATCGCTTCACGATCGCTTTTTAAATTGTTCCTCAAGTCGTTCATCAAACGTTCGACGTGTCTAACAACGTCTGGGATATCCGTAGCGTCCGAACTTTCGCTATAGTTTGCATTCTCACGAATAACTTTCAGCCGGCCCATCTCTCCTATCAATTGTTCGGCAAGATTGTTCAATTCGCCGATTCTCTTCCGATATTCCGCGCTATTACCACATCTCGATCGCAGCATGGCCCTCGATCTGTCCAGCTTGAGACGCAAGTTCCTATTTCTGGTCTTAAATCTATACAAATTCTCGCTAACGTTCACGAGCTCCTCCGACAAACCGATAATCATCTCAACGGTCTTGCCGATCATGGTAGCAAAGATTATTTCTATCGTTCGATCACCTCTCGTGAACTCGTTTATCTCATCCCTAAGTTGTTTCAGCATGACGCTCGTGTCATTCTCTTCAGCCTCTTTCAGTCGCTTCTTCAGACACAAAATCTCGTTGTTCATGCGTTCTCTTTCACTTGAAAATTTATTCTCAAGCGTGGCGATCTTATCGCCTACTTCAGAGACGGTGATACGCGCGATATCCTCCTCGGCTTTAATTAAAGCGCATTTTAGATTCGTTACTTCATTCTCCAAAGCATCGTTTGCCTGCTCCAATTGGCTAATCTCCGTCCTCTGATGCACGATCAAAGGGTCGATCTGCTGGTTATCGTTCCCATTCTTGTCATCCGCACGCAAAGCCATTTTCATCCGCCAGATATTGCTCTTCAGTTTCGCGCTATCGTTCCGCCAATCTTTCATCTGCCGCATCCCGTTATGCAGCTTGTACAATGTCGCAACAGCCATTCTGGCGATTCTCGTCTTCTCTTCCACGGCAACGTCAATCGCGACCACTGACAGGTAATCGTCGAGATATTTGTCACTCATTTTTGCTTTTTCAATTTATCAGAATTATGTAATACGTGACAAAACGCATTAAGTATAATAAACTTCGCTAAATATCAATATTAAAAATCCATGTAACAAATATTATACAAATGTTCATTGTTAATATATCAAATTTATGATTTTACCTTCATGCAGATTTTCGCTTCGATTATTATTAATTTTTAAAAATTAATCCGTCGAGGTTGGCGTTTATAAGTACCTTATAATTATAAACAATTAATTTGTATAATCACAATAAAATGTTAGTATTTTGCATTAAAACGTGCACGTCATGGTAATAAAATCAATAATCTGCAGAATTTATGATTGTCTGTAAATGTTTCATCAACTTGAAAATTTGTATATGTCGAAATAACATTAACGAACGAATTTGGAATCGCCAAAATCATAAAAATCGATTTCATATGCGATAAGGAAATAGGAGCACAGATATCTTCACGTATATACCAAGGGGTCGATTGTGTATCTTAAAATGAGATAAAAATTACAAAAGTGAGCATTCGCTTGATTGGCTAAGTTTCACTATAGTGAAAATGCGAAATGTTTCACGTGAGATTATTCGACAAGAAATTTTATTTCGAAATGTGCCTAGATACATCGAATTTAATCGTCATATTTATAGTGGAGTTGAGAAATATTGTATATTTTCACCATTAGGTTAGAATCTAATAATTGTAAAGAAAATAAATCACAAAAATGGAATATTTAATGTTATTGTGCTGTAATGAAGAGGATAATGAAAATAAATGAGACGACAACAGGGGGTTAATTGTGTATCTTTGTCGACTTTCCTCACTTCTCGTACTTTCATGTCACATGAAAAAATACGCGCGATTGGCTATGATCGTAGTGAAAATACGATATCCCTATGCTTACGGGAGCTAACCCCCGTATTCATAGTCAGACCTTATACTTAAGGCTTCCTTAAATTTATCTTTAGATGATCTACGAATTATTTTATTGGCTACTGAGTATCTAAAGATAAATTTAAGGAAGCCTTAAGTATAAGGTCTGACTATGAATACGGGGGTAAATGTGAAATGTATTGCGCATATGAATCAATATGAATTGGGGGTGATTGTGTATCTTAAAACCTAGTAAAAATCATAAAAGTGAGCTCTCACTTGATTGGCTAATTTTCATCATAGTAAAAATGCAATATTTTTCACGTGAGATTGTTCGGCAAGAAATTTCTTGTCGAATTGTGCCAAAGTGTGTCGAAATCAGTCGAAATTGTTCGAAATTTGTCTTATTTAAGGCATATCAATGGACATTTTTATGCTTCTTTGCATAGAGGAAGATGAAAATGACAATAATATTCGCAAAAGAAATTTAAATTAAAATTATTATTTAAAATTATTATTTAATTTAAATTTAATTTAATTTAATTTTCGTTTATTTTCACTGTTGTATTGTAAACGTCCTCTGCCGAAATCGAGATATCTTTGCATAAAGGAAATTAATATTTTTTTTTATTTCTCGGTTATGTTCATTTTTGTCACAGGTCGCAATAATTGTTTGCAAAAAATTTTTTAATATACACCTTTTTACATATCTCTGTCAATCTCTGCAAAGATAAAGAGGTTATATTTCTTATTCACATCTCAATTCATATTAATTCATATGCGCAATATATTTCACGTTTAGCTCCCGTGAGCATAGGGATATCGTATTTTCACTACGATCATAGCCAATCGCGCGTATTTTTTCATGTGATATGAAAGTACGAGAAGTGAAGCCTACGATAAGGCACAAACCTTATTTTGTACACGTTTAAAGACTACATTAAATATACATTTTTCAAACGTTTTTAATGTTTTTCACATATTAATAATTACGCACATTAATGTGTATAATTCATGACATATAATGGGCTTTCTACAATAAGCCATAAGTCATAAATCGGAAGTAATTAAGTAACTAAAAATTGACGACTGTGATTGGTCCATTTCTAGCTTATGACTTGTGATTTGTGACTTACGGCTTATTGTAGAAGGCCCATAAAGCATAATATTATTTAGGTATATACTTTATCTATATAATTTTTGAAATGTACTATTTGGGATATCGAATGGATCTTGTGTATCTCGTAATCGTCTTCTAATTCAATTTAAATTTCTTTTGCAAATATTATTGTCATTTTCATTTTCCTCTATGCAAAGAAGCATAAAAATGTCCATTGTCTTAAATAAGACAAATTTCGTTCGAACAATTTCGACTGATTTCGACACACGGTAAATATAAAGAAGAACCCGCTCCTCTTAAATTTTGATAAAAATATACTCAATCGATGCGTTTTTGCATGAAACGAAAGTATCTGGCAAAAAAAAGTGTCGCTCTGCCCTACGAACCGAGACATTAAGCGTTAAAGTTGACGACTATTCAGGTTAGGCACACTTTGGCACTATTCGACAAGAAATTTCTTGCCGAACAATCTCACGTGAAAAATATCGCATTCTCACTATGATGAAAATTAACCAATCAAGTGAGAGCTCACTTTTATGATTTTCACTAGGTTTTAAGATACACAATCACCCCCCAGAATTTAAATTTAATACGAAAAGATTTACGAGAACTTATACTCAAAATCCGTTTGAGGAAAGTAGGGGAAACCTGGTCTCGTTGGAATAAGAGATAAGTTGGCATTACGTTCAGTTTATATACTTGTGGCAAAAAAAATAATGGAAAAGTTATTGTAAAATATGTTTTATAACATAAGTACTTATCCTTAAGTTTTATTTAAATCAAACAAATATTATAATAAAAAAAGAGAAAAATGTAATTCAAGGGGCACGAAGTAGATTTTCGAGCTTTTCAATATTTCGTATTAAAAATCAAAGATAGATAAAGGCAAATACCCGATGAGAACACATACGTAGATTCGACGTAGATTCAACGTGGGTTAGCACGTAGATTCTACGTAAACGATCGAGTGACAGTCTACTCAAAAACGGTACCAAAATCCACGTGGAAATCGAATCGATATTCCTTGTAATATCCACTACTAGTGCAATAATAATGCAATAATAAATTCGTAATAGTGACACTATACTATAATATACCCGTGTAGAAGTCTTAGAATAAAATCGTGAAAAAAAAAATTTTCCTCTAAATTCGAGAGTTAAATTTTTTTTCATAATGTCACCCCATCCGAAGTTGTACCACGAACCTTGCTGCTTGACTTTGACAATCGTAAGGGAACTGCTGTACTTCGATGACCCACGAATCTGTATGTTAACGTTTATATAATTGTGATATATCTGTTCAATGGAAATATTAGAAACAAATGGTTTATGTGTTTATATGATATAGTGTATGTTTTAGGAAAACGGAATAGAATCCCTTTAGTGTTCCTTTTTTTAGGGAAATCTCATAGGAATACAACAAAGAAAAGATAGGGAAATTTCCACACGGGTATATATATATGTATATAGATCAAAATATTTATAAATTGTTTATGCATTAAAAGTTATATTGTGGTAAATGCATTGATAAATACGTGGATTCTACGTAGACACTTCCATATAGATTTCAATACGTATAATCCATGTAGAATTACTGATGAAATTTAACGGGAATAAAAATAGGAAATATAGTAACGTTGAATTCACGTGGATAAATCAACATCGATATTACTCTATGCAATCCACGTGGATTATACGTATTGAAATCTATATGGAAGTGTCTACGTAGAATCCATGTGGATATTATGTAAATAAATTTTTAATCCACGTAGTCCACGTAAAACACGTAGATTCCATGTGGATACTACATATGTGTTCTCATCGGGTAAGAGTCAATTATAAAATTGTATACAACAATTCATAACATGATAAAATCTTTATAAATAGATTACATAACGATCATCCAATCGCTTGATAAGCTCTTTTGTTCCCTCTGAGAAAATACTCAACTTATTTTGAACATTTTGAACGTTTACAACTCCATCACCGTTTTATTTTATTGAGTTAATTATATTGTACATTTGAGGAGGGCTCAAATATGGAGCCAAAACGTTATGTAATCTATTTATAAAGATTTTATCATGTTATGAATTGTTGTATAAAATTTTATAATTGACTCTTATTTACCTTTATCTATCTTTGATTTTTAACACTAAGAACCCTGTATATTTTCTTTATTTCGTATTAATTACTTCTCAGTTTGAGAAGATAAATCTAACTCAGGTATTATCAGTTAAAAGAAAAGTTTTTGTTATTATACGATATGTCGTTTTGAGTGATGATAGTCATTTACTGTAATAAAACCATTAAAATCAAATGTATGTAGAGATAGGGTACGTTGAATTTAATGCAATTTATGCAAGGTTTTATTGCAAGACGTTTATAAATAACTTATGCAAGGTATTTATATTTTATGCAGATTATTGATTTTGTTACCATGACGTGCACATTTTAATACGAAATACTAATATTTTATTGTGATTATACAAATTAATTGTTTATAATTATAATAAGCTACTTATAAACGCTAATCTCGACGAATTAATTTTCAAAAATTAATAATAATTTAAGCAAAAATCTGCATAAAAGTAAAATCATAAATTTGATAAATTAGTTAAAAATAAGAGAAAAGAGCCAAATTATTTACACCACCTTCAGTACCTGCAGTATAGTCGAAAAGATGTGTATATATATATATATATACACATATATATATATATATATATATATATACATGTTTTCTTACAGTATACAAATAATACGACTAACATCAGTAATGATAAAAATATATTAATGAAATAACTTCCGTCGTTATTGAATTGTTTTATCAAATTAAATCAATTATTCACAGACTTTGTTTCAACAAGATTATATTTACAAACTGTATTACCATAATAATTAATTAACTACAATCAAAATTATCTGATATATACTATTTTTTAAGTTTATTAATAGCTTGCAAACTATTTGCGAATGGGTATCTACACAAGAAATGAAGCATGATTTGTTTGCAAA